CCAAGAAGAAAACTGAATCTTATGGCAAAGAACAACGACACTTGTGCAAGACCTTATGCAAGCAGTGTGGAAGATGTAAAATGGCTTAAACGAAATACATGAGTACGAACTAGCCGGTAAAAGCTACTTCTAATTTTTTCACGTCTCCGTGCACAAAGATCAGGAAGGACACGAGTTAGGTGTTCATGTGCTGACTCAGGCAAGAACAAAGAAACCGTGATTTTATTGAATCATGGTATTCCACGGAAAATGTTGTCAACAAACACTGGAATTGACCCAGTCTCTCACATTACGTGACTACGTGTTTACTTATTCCTGAAGTGGTGACATCTCACATCGAGGGATGGGTGTGTGAATTCGCTTTCGTGTGAATTATCTTATCCTCTAAACTCCTCGGTGATTCTTGAGGTATACCTTGTAGGCGATCCGCAATACTGATGTGGCAAGTGTACAGTGCTTCTCTTCTCGACATAGTTTGATTTCACTTACAGGACAAAATCTCGACTAAAGTCTAATTGGTTGTTATCCGGTAGATTCACCCAGATGAGAGATTTAAGATGGCGTGACGTACTGCTTCATGATCAGCTTGATGGAAAATATGTTTCAACTGAAACAAAACACCGTTTCTGTTTCAATCAGTTGTAAACAACCGTTTTGTGACGGAAAATCGGGGTTCGCAACTTTACTATCAGCTTCTCTACCACAAACTGCTCCTTAAGTGAATCATCTTGGGGCTCTCTAAATGTGGGTCGTGTAATAAAGTGTGCAACTATATCTCCGAGCTGTCTTTTGTTTCTGGGATCGGGACGGCTGGTGCACGCAGTTGATTTTAATTCTTGTATTCACTTCTGGAGATAAGTGCTTAAATGTACGAAACGTCTCGGCTGGTGCACGCAACATTTTCAAGATTTGTCTGAAACCATGATTCTATGTAGAGGTAGGCAGGTCGACCGAACATGGTGTGAAATGTCTCAAAATTGGCCAGGATTTCTTATTTTTCAGGAACATATGGTTATTCCACGCCAGTGCTTCAGTGAGGCCTGATCAGTGCAAAGTAATCTGTCTGCTTAACTGTATGCTCTCACTGAACACAGCCCTACACAAATATAATTGCGAAGTGCTCCTCTGAAGAATTCTGGTAAACGGAAACTCATGTGGTTACGTGGGATTCTGTGACAAGTTCAGTCCAAACTATGTACTATTTATCGGGATAGCCAGTGATCTATGTGCCTACTGAGAACAGTTTTCTGAGAGGTTAGGTTAACCTCGGTTAGATTTAACTCTGAAATTCGTCAGGGTTATTTATACCATAATGTTCGGATATCCTATTAATTGACATCGAGGACTTCCGTCTTGGTGGCCTGGGTTCGAACTCGCGTATGGACTTTTAAGTTCGGCAGCCGTCTTGAAATTTTTTAGCCAAGATGTTGCATCATTAAAGTAGTAACATATACTGTTGTACACATGCCTAAAAACGGAAGACGACTAGTTTTCAAGTTATTTACTAGGATGCGTTTAACCTGCCACACTAGTCTGATCGCTCAACCGAAATGGATTATATATACGTCAACGATATCCGAGTTCAAGCGGAAGGCTAAGAGAGGTCGACTATAAAATTTCAATCTAATTTCTCTGCTGCCTCACTTACCTAAGCTGTAGACATTTTCTCCGATGGTAGTGACCACGAGCCCCTAATGATAGTTCAATGAAAAAATTCTTTCTGAGGGCGTCAAATAGTGTGCAGCGCTATTCTGACAAATTGGCCGACCATTCACGCAAAAATTAGCTGCATACCTGATAGGCGGGTCAGCGTATAAAACCTTGAGTTCGCCAAGTCAGAGTCTAGTATTTGCCTTTAGTGAGTGTACAAATGGTACGTCCTCGTGATTGTTTTAAAGTTCGGCGCCTGTACTCATACTAAACGTAAGACCTACTGTATTACAACCCCATCCGTGCTACAACTCTTGGTTAAGGGTTTAGCCAGTTCCCAAAATGCTCGCGCGAAAGAGTTTTTTCTTATTTAGAGCTGCTTGGGCCAGTGAAGTGGAACAATCGTTTGTTCCAGTAAAGATCCGAATCACAGTTCACTGGGGTGGAGTGAACATAGTATGTAGGCGGGGAATGAGTCGGTGCGTCGAACCACCCCCCTCTTGATGCCGACTGGGTAGCCCGGACGCAGCAAAGGGTGATTTAAGAGTTCACCAACTCCATACTGCTAACCGCCCTGATTGGTTTCAATGCGCTGGTTGCTTTCGATAGTGTACAATATAAAGCATTTTGCCCCTACCCACCAGTTCTAACCAGTATACAGGAGAGACTCGTGGAGCTCACGTTTGAGGAATCTGACAAGTGCTGCAAATCGAAAGCTGACTTTATAGCCTACCGTCCAGTTCAAGTCCATGAAAGTTTTTGTACGAACCTGATTACCCATCTGGCCTGCGCCAATTTTTTCGGCGAACATTGGCCTGGGTCAACACTGCCGGCACGCACAGTCTACCCAGCGTAATGCAGATAAGCGTGGTCGAGTGAAGAATTCTAGTGTCCGCTGGTCCCAACAAGAGTCACAATCACTTTTCGTGCCTGACTATTTATATTCGGTTTGTTACACACACAACCCGAGACGTTCGTGTGTTTGGGGTAATATTTTCCCGGTCGATTGGCTATCGGCGTCAAAACTAGAGCACTTGTGCTTAACTGGCAAGCACCATTGGACGAATCATCTGGTGACCCTGACCAAACCATCGTCAGAAGATGATGGCTATAGCGTCTGGTTTAAACCAACTGTGGATTGATCCGTGTCGCTCTTGGAATCCTCTGCTCACAGTTCGTTTGCTAGTGTTGACCATCTGGCATTTGCCCGAGGGTTGTAGTCTGGTATCATGAAATCGAAAGAAGTCCCCACGCCTCAAGGATATTTCCATACGCGTGGAATCCTGACTTCCGACGCGGTCGTTAGTTAGCCCATCGTATGCTGGCAAACTGAAAGCATATCCGTCAAACCAACTACGCCGCCATCTAGACAATACACAACAAAATACAGAGAGGTATGGTGGGTCTATACAAAGGCAATTACGGTCTAACTGTTGGTACCGATCAGCATTGGAAACAGATGCTCTCTGCGATAAAACATCGTGGATAGCCGGACAAGTCGCGCCACGCTACCATCCGATGAGTTCAATCGAGCTAGTTCGGCCGTACGATTCGTTTAATGGACTATTTGTCCCAGGGCCTGAACAAGCGCACGCCAAAGATACTTCGCCGGTACATTACCAAGGCCCTCGCTGGATTGTCTTCCACATCTGTGTCGTACCTTAGTTCCAAGGTCCCAAATCCAACTTCACCGGATAAGGTGAGATCGAGCTTTGTGTCATCCATTCTTGTTCGATGTTTTCATAAGGTGCTTCCTGATCACTGGAGCCGTAGATTGCAAATGTCCTCACTCCAGTTTGCATTTTCCCATCAAGACGGTTGTTTGGAAGCTACGTCGCCCTCCTTCTTCATTTTTCAGTGACTGCTTCTAACCTCAACTAGGTGTTTGTTGATATCTCTAAAGCGCTTGATTCGGATTCGTATGACACAATTGTCAGATCTGCCGAGGCGTTTGGAGCACCATCATCTTCAGTCCTATACATAGCAGAGTCCTATGAGAATGCTGTAGTAGTTTTCTCCGATTTCGAGCTTCACTTATCCATAGATATGAACCAGGAAGATCCAATCTCCCATAATATTGTTCACCATGGTAATTGATGAGGTTCTTAGACTGTGGATGCCGGTTCCACGATACCAGTTCCACAACACCTTAGTGGGTGGTTTTGTGTTGGCTGACGACTGTGTCGCGTGTGCCGAAAGTCAGAGTGGCCTTTAGGAGAACCTCTAATCTGCTGCGGTTGAGTTAGGAAGAGCTTGTATGAAGATCAACGCCTGAAAGACGATCAAATAATTGAGATCACAAGGAACTATCTGATACCGAAGTTGACATACTCGCCCGTGCCCGGAACACTGAAACACCCAAAAGGTTGAGCATTCACATCAGGCATTCTATTCATGGCTGACTACGTCTACCGAATGACATTCCGAACAGATATATCTATTTCGGTAAACAACATGAAGACTTGCCGTCCAAATCCAAATATCCTGATGCAATAATGGGCGCGTGATCAACAACCAATAATGGGCGCGTATGGAAAAGCTTCTGTCTACGCACTGTCGAGTACTGCAAAATTTGGTCCACGATTCCGCATTCGGTGAGGTTGTTCGGGATCCTCGCAATCTGACCGGAGTCCAAGATGCATCCGTAAACACCGATGAGGAGCTGGTGCTAGATTTGGGCGATAGTCTGCACAACAGCATGGACGGTCGCGGTTCCAGTGGGTTGGTCGATTAGCCTCTATCGAATCGATGGCTCGTTTTTCCAGAGCTAGTTTTCCTCGATTGTTTATCCGCGGTATCCAGCTCCAGTGCAACCTGCTCAGAATTTCTTGGAGAGTTAGAAGTGCCCGGTATGGACATGGTGGCTAGATGATCTGTCGTGGAAGATGTGACCAACCGGAGAGTTTGGTGCATGGCCCGCAGGCTTGCTTAATCACACATGATGCTCATCATAATCGGGTTGTAAGGAACCTGGTCAAGTGTCTCCGTCGCTTGGGGTGCACTATCTTTGAGGAGTTGACGCCACTCACGTTGGCTTCTTTCAGCAAGCCTGGCCTATTCGCTGTTCGGAAGCGCCGAGCAGCTGTGACAGACATAAACATAGTCTCGGATGGGCTTGGGGTGACTGTGTGGAATGAGAAAAAGCAGAAGTATGGCGCTGATGTACCTTTCCTCGCAATAATCCCATCCCTACGTGCAATCAATTTTGATGTCTAGCTTTTGGTCCACTAACAGATAATCATTTCTTATTGAGGGATCTACTTTCCTCAATCTGCCAAGGCCGTTACTGGACTGGGACTTCCCAAAGTCACACTCAATGACTTGTGTTTGTTCACCATTTAGGGCTCTCTATGTACTTACGACACCTTTGTTCGTGGTACATGACGTTTCTGCCAAGGCTGTTACTGGACTGGGACTTCCCAAAGTCACAGTCAATGACTTGTGTTTGTTCACCATTTAGGGCTCTCTATGTACTTACGACACCTTTGTGCGTGGTACATGACGTTGAGTGTTCATTGTTGCGATTGACTTTCACACCTGACCCAGTATGAGAACCTTTTGTTCACCATTTAGGGCTCTCTATGTACTTACGACACCTTTGTTCGTGGTACATGACGTTGAGTGTTCATTGTTGCGATTGACTTTCACACCTGACCCAGTATGACGAACCTTTTGTGCCTGATGCGGGAGTCTTGACTGTGCGAACTCTTATTGCGCCTTGAATAGCAGTTGGCAGTATTCATCCATTCTTCAGTTGCTGGTCCTTGAACGCATGCTTCCATACCAAACATTCTTGCATAAGTTGGGATTCATTTTGTTCGACTGGAAATGCTAGTGGCACGCCGTCAAATGAGACGCCCCCTTGTTTTATGTAATATCCTCTTGTGCACCCTTACACGTCTGTTGCTTGGATTCAATTTTTATTTCTGTGACCACGCTCTTCGAAAATAGACGGCAACAGTAAGAGCAATCTGAACAGTCAAATATGTGGCAAGCCAAGTGTAACTTTAGTTTTGGGAGGTAGACGCACTCTCATCGAGTTTAGAAGAACGTGTGAGCTACCACGAGAATCGGGTGAAAATATTAGAGTTGAACGACAAAAAATTTTCTTTCTAGTTAAGTTATTCTGCAGCTCTGCATACAACGCAGTCGCCCGACAAAAATCTGAGCTGCCGAAATTCCAGCCAGTAGGAGAGTCAGAGCACAACATGCACTTGTAAGAGCAGCTGTCTCGAAAGATTGTGGAAAGATTGTCTGACACAGAAATCGAGACTATCAGCTTGACAACGAGGGCAGTTGTGCGGTTAAACGCAGTGAAGTATGAAAAGGAACATAACAGTTAGCCACTGTCACAACTTTACAAGTCTGAATGATTGTAATTTCAGGTTCATATCAGTGTGGTTTTAAAAGTTCTTCTCCTGTCCGTGTGCAATTATTCCGATGGGTCCACACAAGCTAGGTCAAAATAAATTGTGACTTAAAATGGTTCGCTAAGTGGGAAATCTGAAATTTACTTCACATAAGGCACTTGATCAGCTCAACAAATAAAGTACTTCACTTGCCAAATTCTGAAGCGAATCCCTAGAACCTAGGCCGACCTACGAGGAACATCCTATCCCTCTTTTCGATCCCTCTTTTCCTGCCCAAACTCATTCGACCACCATGACGAGGTGGCCAGGTGTACAAGATATCATCCATCAACGGTAGGATAAAAAGAGGTTGAGCACGAAATGTGGTTGTCTAACTTGGTAGACGTATGCGTTCAGTAGTAACGGAAAAGCCCGCGAAAAAGGATACCGGTTATTTACGCGTCATTTGTTCTCGGTCATAGTTGGCCTGGATGAAATGCAGTGCTCAAATGCAAAGTAAGTGGCAGAACTGCGAATGCTTCGTCAACTAGGCTAATTCAACAAAGCCTTCAGAACACAAACGTCGTTTGATTACTCAAGGGAAAATATTTAAAAAAAAGTAAACTAGGTGTTCAAGTGAGACAATGGGAATTCGTTGAGCTTCTCAAGTTATTCGCAGCACATCAACAGTGTAATTCCCTCACTACTTCCATAATTCTATTAACTTACTACATTTTGCTTCTATTGAAGAATATTTTATGCGTAAACTATTGCATTTTCTCGGGTGATGGCGTTGTCAAAATTATTGACCGATATCAAGGACTTTGTGAATTAACTCATAAGTAATAGAGGGAGATCATAATCACTATTGCTTCGCAACTGAATACGTCCCGGCTTAGCCAACGCCCTTTTACTTCAGCTGATATCACGTGGCTTACGTCTCTACCAGTTCGATTTGCCGTCTTAGAGAAAACGCCCAGTCATAGCAAAGACGAAATAAACGTGCTAATCACTATGGTCACATGCGGGTATCTTCAGCAAATAGTTAACAGAATCCTCATTCATCCAGAGAATGAAGACTAGTATGCGATATGTTATTCTCTCCTACATTCAAAGAAATCAACCACAGGCTTACTTATTTCTCCCATTCTTATTTACTTGTTCCATGAGTGTAGTGTATGCTGAACTAGTG